AGATTCAAGTGAAGAAGATCGAGTGGAATTTATAATTTGCGAGATGTGGGCATATGTAACTTGTGTTACAAGAGTTAGCACACATTTTATTTGTATTATGATAATAACTGTAGCTTACGTTGATTTATGATAAAAAAAAATTACATGAGACTTTATTTATATTAATTATTTTTATTAATTATAATATGTGTTGATTTATGAAAAAAATACTTATAATTAGAAACAGGTCAATTTTCATGAACATAAGCAAAGAATAAATTTTGAGAGGTATTATTGTTGTTTTTTGTCGTTACTACTTGCTCGGTAGATGTTACAACTAGCTCCAAAAACGGGGTTAATTTTAACACCGCACTTTTTCTAGAAAATTAATTGTGAAATATTGAACAATAGTTGTGGAATTATTTTTACTTGATTTGGAACAATAATTATACATCTTTATTTCGTAAAAATATAATCTGTGGATCAAGATATATTTGTTTAAAAACAAACTGTTACAATAAGCCCCAAGCTCTCCTACCTGTTTGTATATCACGTTCGTCTCGGAGGATATTTTTTGTAAAAATATTCTTTAAAGATTCTTCTATATAATCCATTGATCGAAGCGTAGTCTATGCGAGTTGAGTTTTATATTACTATTTGTTTTGTTAGCAAGTGAGAGTGGGTGCATAAAAACGATTTAATCTTCCCGGCCATTTCATCCAATTCAATTCGCTAACGCTACAGTGCGAAACCAAATGACCGTGTACCAATGCATTCTGTTTAATGCTTATAATATAATTCAGGCTAGGTATTTTCTAGGAGCTTTCGAGCGCATTGTCATGAAAATTTATTTACACCACGCGGGATAAAAATATACTCGCTATTCACAACTTGTTAAATGAGCAAATTTCGGTTACAGAAATCTGTATTAAAACTAGTTGATAGTAGCATTTTGCCTTAAGGCAAGTTGTATATGTATACATAATCATCTTAATCGATGAAAATTGAGATTTAGCTATATAGATGAAATGGTCAACTGTTTATTTCGAAAATATTCCGCTTTCATTAAAAACGATTTTCAATTGGTATCTTTGAAACATACTTATAATATCTGTAATCGTATAAATTAAATCATTTGTTTAAGACATTTTATTTCATGTTTCTCTTGTGAAAATGTATTTTATTCGATCGTGAACGTGAACTGTAATCAGTAGCTACCAACGAAATAGTACAGAACGTGCAAATAAAATGCTTCGGCATAGATTCTGATTAGAATCGCTAATGAAAATTCTAAATTTTCGTGTTTTTTTTATAACTTATCTGCTTATTGTAGGCTATGATATTTTAGTTAGTTATTTCAGACTATAAAATCAATTGTACAAAATTGTGGGCTAAAGCGTGAACGAAAATTTTTACACCATTTTGCTAATTACAAAGAAACGGTTCGGCCGATCCATTCCACAAAACTAATCGGTGATAGTCCTTATCGAGATACATCGAATAGTTTTTAAATTTTTAAAATCTGTCCAGTCATTTTTAAGAAAACGTCGGCGACAGGTCGGCTCACATACATACATACACATGCGCACACATACTTTTCCTAAATTTTGTCTCATTCGATTTAGAATGACTTGAAACGCCGAGAAAACATAAAATTAGCAAATCGGATTTTTTTTGCCAAAAAAAACTCCTTCGGAAAGATATTAAACGCCTCTTATAGACTTGTTATTGGATGTGTAATAAGACTAAGCTATAAAAACAAAGAAACAACATTAGACCAATTTTTAGGTAAAATTTTTAATGTTTTATAATAATAAAATGAAATCCATATTAGCATGTGAAAACAAAAGTTGGCTTAAATTTACATCCAACAAAAAGTGGTACTTTATCGACAGCAATTTAGTTAATTTAGGAGCATAAAAATTACACGTAAAAGTACCAAATCAGACTAGTATAGTAGTATAAACGCATTGATTTATACAATATTCATATTTTGTGTTGCAAATAGCGCTTTGCTCTAAACATCACAAAACCCAGAATATTATATTTAAAAAAAAGTAAATACTTACGATATTATAAGAGCTAATATAAAAAGTAAAGTTTATTCATTGGTTTCGATCGAAAATACTACAAGGTTTATAGTTCTCAATACACTAATGATATAAAAAAATATAACTTAAAAAATAAAAATATTGAATAAATTGTCAGACGAACAGAAAAATATTTTAATTGTGGTTTTGAGGTATATTTAAATCATAGGTTTTTAACATAAAGTACATAATATAAATATATAAATACTTTTCGAATATGAAAAACGAAAATTATGTTTCGCGATTTATATTAAACAAAATTTTATGTATTTATTAATTAAAACATGTACATTCATAAAATGGAGAAATGAGACATATGAATGAATAATTTTATATTTGTTTTCAAATATGAAGTTGTAATAATACAATAGACTCTCTATAAACTATTCAGAAATGGAATTTTCGAAATTATAATTAGATAATAATTTTAGATTTAATAATAGATTTTGTAGTTATAAATTAATTAATATTCGCAAGTATTTCACCGTAGGCGTAACAAACCACTCGTTGAATTCATACATATTATAATAGAATGAATTATACGTAATACATAATAACATGGAGTGCACTCCAACTAGTTCAGTTGTTGAATTCGTTATTGAATGAAAGTTCTTGATTTTAACAGAAGTGTTTATGTGCTCTATATGATGGATCAAATGTATATGAGTTTGTTAATTTTAGTATCCTTTCACATATTTTGTATATTTATTACACATTTATCGTAGCTTTATCCACTAAGTTTCTTCAGTTCGTGTTTGCTTGATGTCTGACTGTTATGGTAAGTGTGAGAGCAACTGATCTTCTATTCATTTGTAGATATTTTGTTTATATAAACACTATAATTTTATGCATATACTATTATTAAGCCGTCTGGCTTTATTTGTTTCTAGACACAATTTAATCTAAAACAACTAAACATGCAGCAAAACCATTAAGCAATGAGTATATCCAGTGGCGTATTTACTTTAACTAACAAGTCCTTTGCTACTCGAGGCGTTATGCAAGTATTAAGACGATGAAATCTTAAGCCTTTACATAGTAGCCTTTCATTAATATTATATTATTTATTTAACTATTTTTTTTAACTAATTTAAAATTTTTACTAATCTTGAAAATAAAATAAAACTTTTGTGGTGTAAGATCAATAAAAACTTTCGTAGTTGTTTTGTAATTGGACGACAAATACCAAAAAATAATGAAATTTTTTTAGAATTTAGAAATAATATTTCTGACAAAACACCAGTTAATAGACAACTGTTTTTTACTGATTAATAATTTGCGATCAATCATATATTAATTTTATTAGTATATATATTAATATTTTTTATGTACTTTCATTTGCGAACTAACTCACATTTAATTAGATAGACTTTCTTTATTTGCTGCGCTAATAATGATTGATAAATAATGTTAATATTGAATAGAATTTGTTAGGTAAAAAAATTTAATTCAATATATAAACATATTAAATATATTAATAAATATTAAATAAACTTTAACTTGCTTGTAAAAACTTCAAATAAAATTTTAGATATTTTATAAAATAAGTTTGAAAGGTAATTTTCAAGAGCAATCCATAAAATGTTTTATGAAATGGATGGGCCAATTCCGTCACAAAATAGACTAATGTTATAGCGATACTAAATGGTACCTACTAAAAACTAGCAAAATGCTATGTATTTGCTGGATAATCAGGCGTTTTAGATGTAAAACCTAACTTAGAAAACGCACTAACATCAAAAAAATTCTTATCCTAAGTACATCTTTGTGATGTGCCATGCAAGAAGTTAGATTTTTTGTGTAAAACGAAAGTGACCATGCATACCGGTTTGGCTGGGATATTCCTGGATTTCCACCTTGTGTCCCGGGTTTAGATCTTTTGTCCCGGTTTTCAAAAAGTACTTGATCCATTGATACAATACAATTACAACTATCCATCAAATATCTGAAAATGATATAAAATGTTACAAGACAACGAATATGTTCATGTGAATCAATACGTTATGAATGAAAAATTGCCAAATACAAAATACCAAAAGCGGCTTAAAATAGCTTTTTACATTAACAAATTCGAACTTTTACTTTTAATTTCATAAAAATTAACACAAAAATTGAAACAAACAGGCAAGTACTAACTTCTCCAAAATTTGCTGCCTGGTTGCTGCAAATTCGCTGTCGCGGTTTTGACTTAAAAAAAATATGATCACCTTAGTAAAACGCCTAATTTCACAAAACAATAAATAGTATTTAGATAGTACTTAGTACCCTTTTATATGAAAAAAAGCAGCATAACATAGTGTTGTCATAACATTGGTCTATTTTACGCCAAAATCGGCCCACCCATTTTATGGATTGCCATTGAAATTTACCTTTCAATATAATATCTAAAATTTTGGTTTAAACTACCTAAAATTTTGGTTTTGGGCAATGAATTATAATTTTTTACTTAACTAATTCTATTCAATATAAACATGTTTTATACAGTCAATCAATCAATTTTACGACAGAATTGACCCAGGAATGTATAAGAATTAAATACGCGATAAGTGCACTTACTTCCGCAAAATACAAGATCACTATTTTTTATCCTATGGGCAGGGTTTGGTTAATTTTCACTTATATCATCGATAAGGAAGTGCTTTCTAAAAACCAATATACGCCACTGAGTACATTCTACATCTCAGGTTCTACCAATAATTCTATTGAACAATTATTTTCCTGCAGGTTTGTGCGTCCGTCTAACATTGAGTTAGACCGGCACCAGCACGCTCACATACACCATCACCATTCGCATTCGGTGCACGGTGGCAGCGGTTCACTTGGCGGACGAGAGAGCGCCGCTGGAGGTGAGTCATAAATAATTGACATTTCACGATTCTAAAAGCTTTTTACGTGTCTAATCCTATAAGGAATAGCTTTTTTTCTTCTTAGATATTTCTATCCGATATCTATACGTTACTTTTACCTCGTAAACGTCTTCTCGGCTTTCTTAATTTAATTTTGTGGCGGTTTTTATCTCAACGATGGACATGAAGGAGTTTTATTTACCATTTACTGCAGTTCCACTAACTATGGATACACAAAAATTTATTGCATAAGAATATTCGTCAATTTAAAAAATATATATTTTATTTTTAACGAATGTATGAATATATCAATTTTTTTATGGTACAATATAATTGAGTACATATTTTTCTACCCTAGGGTTATATACATTTCCAACATTTGTTTCTATTGCCATAAATAAAAATAATTAAAATAACTAGATGTACATGTAACAAAAAAACTGTTAGTAGTAAATATCATAGTTTAATTTTTATTTCTGATTTACGTATGTTGGTTATATACCTATTTTTACTGAAGTGGGTCAATTTGTCTCATGCAAGAAGATGAAAGTTTTTCAAAAAAAATAGTGCGAAGCCAATTCAAATAAAATATTTATTATGAAAAAATATGGAAAACATTTTTTACTATTTGATCAAGTACATGAATGCCAAAATCAGTGCTATGGAACAATTTTTTTTGTTCCATTTCAATTTCAAATTTTATGTTTCGTAATTAGTATCTAAACGTTCTAAGATCTATACAATTGTACCAAAGTAGGTTTTTTGCACTAATAGTTGTGGAAAATTATTTTTTAAAAACAAACTCTTTTAAAATGTATAAAAACTGTCTTAAAATCGGATCATTTATAAAAGACAACATGTCATGATATTTTTTTGTTTTTATGCTTTTTTATTAAGGCTGACTTAAATTTCCACACAGTAAATATGTAAATTATATTTTGTCCACAGATTAAGTATGGCTCTTTAAGCTTAATTACTAAAATTTCGCCCAAGGAAATATTTGGTCCTCGGATTTTATCTTTGCCTTCTTATATCAAATTTCAAACAGAATTTTTTGCCAAATTTGGCTTATTTTGTACCTACTGCGTGAATTAGCATCTAGTTTTAGTAGACAATAATTGCTCATTGATCGCTGTATTTGCGTCAGGTTTGTAAGTAACCATTTTTTATACATCTTTTCTATATTCTTGAAATCATGGTAAACTCCGTATTTTATATAGTTTTCGATTCCGACAAATACTTTCACAAATAAATTACAATATTACCTTTGTGGATCCGTTTTTCTGGAAAAAAAACCTTTAAACCATTTTTTGAGTCAAATTGGCTCACGCCTTGTAAATGGATATACCTTATTCAAAAATGCGAAATGAAGGGGTCTGCGAGAAATTGGAAAGAAAGTTTGAGAAAACTTTCAGAAACCACTGTATGCTTATACAAATAATATTACAGTCTTATGTGTATTAAGCGATCAAATTTTTATTGAGTCAAGTTCGGCTTGGTCCGTAAATTTAGCGTTAATAGAATGTTTTATGAATTGCGCGTTACACGAAAACAAAAGGTGCCAATTGTAAGTGATTCTTCATATTCATAAAATTACATACTTTCTATTACATGAACTGCGTAAAAGATGGCTAACAAATATTAAATAAAACTCAGCCAAAGCCACAGTAATTTTGAAGATTAAAGGTTTCCATCTCAAACTAAAAATTGTATTTTTTCATTAAACTGTACCTCCAATTTACGTTTAATGAGTCGATATCACTAAATTAGGCCTCCATACTGTGGATACTATATCTAATAATAAATAAAATACAAAGTACAGAATGATAATCAAAAGTTTTAGCTCGTACTCATACTTTGCATTCTTGAACCTGATCAGAGCTTCTAAAATAAGGATTCAAATAACATTTCGAAAAGAGTACGACATTTATCTGGAGGCAAAATGTCTGTCGAAGACAGTTGGTCCTCTCTGAACTCTTGATTTCAGAAACCTTTTCAAATTATATATATATATATATATATATATATATATATATGAGACAAAATATTTAGGGCAACATCAAATAAATATTGAAAAAATTTCTAAAATCGTTTTTATATTTTCATATGTTACGGCATAAAATGAAAATTGCAAATTAAAAGAAACAGAATACAAATATATATATATATATATATATATATATATATATATAATATTTTATAAAGAAAGCCTGTATTGCTACACAACTATGCAATTATAGTTTAACTTGCAATTAATTTTAAATTTTTATACTGTGTATTACTTTTTCCAATTTTTTGACTGTTTTATTTTATCTTTAATTTAAATAATAATATATATTATTTAATTTAAAAAAAAACTTCAAGATATTATTTAATATATTTATGACTAACTTAGTATACCATACTTGCATTTGTATACATTACTGTAGCATGAATAGTAATCCTATACCGATATACTATTATTATGTATATTTTTTATCAATCTATATTTTATTTATTTAGTGGTCTTAATAATTAATATTAATAATTAATAAATTATTAATGATGATTAAATCATATAATATACTTGTGCAATATATAAATAATATATATTTAATTATATAAAAATATAGTTATTATACATATACATATAAATATATAATTATTCAAAATATAAATGTATATATCTTGTGTTTTATTAAAAATGTTTTAATTTATCAAGACGCGCGGCGAGCAATGCTGTTGCTAGTCGTTGCGAATGAGAGACGACTTACACGGGCGCTATATGAGCGCGAGCGTGTACTTGCTCAGGTTTTTTCTAATTTTGAATGTGTTCTACCACATGAAATAAAACAAAATTTTGCACACCAAAAGAAAATTCAATAGCCCTTCTAATGATGCTAATTAAAAATTAGTCCAAACAACCGCACTACCCGAAAATTCAAAACAAAAAATTATTTTCACTTTTTCTCACACTAACAAATATTTTTTCACATTATTTGTTATGAACAACATAGACAAGATCAGTATAAATAGAATGACGTTAACATTTTTTCGATATCTCTCATATTTCCGACAAAAAGTGAGTTTGAAAAAAGGGGCCACTTTCACATGTTTTCACTGATATCTCGGCCAAATGATGAGCTACGGATTTGAAATTTGGTATGTCGTATTTTCTCGAAAATACCTATAAAATGACATCAAAATTATTTAAATACCAGGGTGGGGCCAATTCTGTATGGAAACACGCCCATACCCTTTATGAGTTTTTTTTAACCTTCAATATTCTAAAATAATCCAATGCCGTCATGGACTTTTCTTTCTGTAATTTTTAATATGAGCACAATGCAATTAGAAAATGATTTTGAATATTGGTCAACAAGCAATAATAGATGAACTGTTCAAATCTAATAAAGCGATATTTATTATGCAACTTCTCTAGGTTTGGAAAACAAGCACTTAATTTTTTTTTAATCCGTTGCCCTACTGGGCATAGTTTTAGGTAACGCGCTCGTTTGTTAAAAGTTAATTTTATTACTTTATATTTTAAAAAAATGAATTAAAAATTAATTTTTTTTTTTAATAAAAACTATGAAATTTTGTGAATATTGGAAATTTTCAAATTATTTGAATAACTTATAATACTTATACAACTTAAGATGTTATTTGGGATTATTTTGAATTTACTCGTTAAAGACAAAATTCATAATTAATCAACTTATTGCCCAAAACTTGATTCGTGACGGGAATGTTTCCCAGATTCGAAGCCACTGAACGCACCTAATAAGTTTAGATTCTGTAAGTGAAAGCAAGATGTCAGTCATAGGCCCATCCGCTGTTATTCCAATTAAAACTTTTCCTTGTTATAAGAGAAAAACTTTTGACTGAACAATATTAGAGATTATATCTCAACGATTACCCAAAACATCACATCGTCAAACATATTTTGTCATAAATGAATGCATTTTTTTTTTCATTTTAAAATCATGTATAGCTCTAAAGAAAACTGTTACAAAGTTGTATACATATAATTAGATATTTAATTGAACATTGATAGAATTTTGTAAAAAAATGTTATATTAATATTCTGATGTTATGAAACAATATATTAAAAAGACAAAAAAACAACAAAAAACATTTAACAAGTTATATATTTCAATATGCCCTTTTTGTATTTTTCTGTGAAAGTTTAGCCTGATCTCATTTTAAAGTATTTTATATTTCATACGCTAAAAAGTTTTTTGGTATAAAGAAATTTATACGAGATCATCTGATGGCAATGGTTTATTTAGTACGTATGTCATTTTATTTTTTTCATCTATGGAACCGTTTAAATTCTCAAATTGATTTATTTCTATAAACCGTGATTGATTGCACATTAGATGAAACATTGTTGAATCTAAATAACACTTCTGTTAAGAAAACTTGCAATATAAAATCATTGTTTAGAAAACTACTTATAGTGAGCAAAACACTATCCTTATTCTTACTGTAACAAATTTATCTTTACTCTTAAATGTAAAAATTATTTTCTATTGAAAAGTCCATCCGCAAACCACCAAAAGTAAAAATCAATACTAATATATTTCATTCAAGAAATATTTCGAGATGCACACCAGATGTTGATAAAAAGCTTGTAAACTTGTAACTGTAAAAATACAGTTTAAAATAATTAAACAAAATATTGTTTGTCTTTAAGTCCTAAAATAAAGCATTTTGTGATTGCGCGCAATCATTACCATCATACTTTGTCTTACTTTCATTTACAAAATTAAGATCTAGGCAAAATCTTATACTTATACACTGTATAATATATTTTAAGTATCAGCTATCATGCTGACTGTTAATTTCATTCTCTCTTGAATAGTACATCATTGACCCATCAAAAGAGAAAATCAATGTCAATGAAATGTACTTTAATCGAGAAATATTTTGAAATGCAAATCTGATATTGATAAAAAGCTCGCATACTCTTGAAAAGACATGCGCTTAAAATAAATAAACACAATATTATTTTTCTTCTGGTAAAATGATTTGTTTATGATAACCAGCAATAATAACCTTCAAAAAAGGAATCTCCCTATTACAACATTAACCCTTTTCACTCGCAAAATGCGAGATTTATATGTATTTTGCCTCGGGAGCAGCGGCATCCGAGTGGAAAGGGTTAAGGTTAAGACCAATGGATTCTCTAACACCACTACTGCTTATCAAAAAATATAATTTAAACTAATTGTTTTCACTTTTCATACCTAAACTTAAATTACTGAGATTCTTGATGATTAAGGCTGAATCACTTTTATGTGATTCGTCACTAAGTCAGTTTGTACATAAATGCTACTTGCTTTATCATATTAGTTATAATTTTGTTGTTGTGTAGATATGATTACATATCTCTCTATCAATGTGATTTCATTATATTTAATTATTTAGGTGGTGTCGGAACGCCCAGTGCGGGCACTCTTGGACAACATCATAGAGAGATCCATCATATTTTGCGTGAGTTGCAGTTCATAACCACGCGGATGAAAAAAGCCGATGAAGAAGCAGAACTCATCAGCGACTGGAAGTTTGCAGCAATGGTTGTCGATAGGTAAAAGTTTTCCAAATTAAAAACGCCGATGCGTATCTGCCTATAGAAATGTTGCTTTCCTTTTTCATCGAAATAGACAGACCAGTTTTAATTTTCTATCCACAATATAAAATTCATTGCGTGAAATCACGCTATACCAGAACTTCCGAACAAGCATACGCGAGCTTTGATATACGTTCTTTTTTTCTGTTAACATTTTGATTCATTGTGTTTTTCTACCGCTTTCAACAGCGCACAATTGTAAAACGAGGTACATCAATATGTTATATAAACGTTCACGATTTAACACACAAATGCAGTACGATATACCATGGTGGGAATAATATGGTGCAACCCTCAAGGAAATCGGTACAACATCACAAACAATAAACGCTATAGTCAATAAATCAATTTCGTAAAATGTTAATTGTAATAATATTAATAAAAGGTTTTACATGAAGTTGTTCTTTTCAATAGAGAAATCAAGCCACAAAAATGGAAGAAAAAGCAGTTGTATTATCAATATAATCCTAACTACTTTGTATATGGCATGTTCTTAAGGGGGTTGTTCGGTTTTTATTTATTTTTTTCGATTTTGAGATTTTTTGACATTATGAAAGCTAAAAACCTTAGAATTATTTAAAAAAAATCATCTCAATATCTATTTTTGACGAAGTTATAGATAAACATATCTCTATATGTATGATCCTTTGAAACCGTTTTTTTCATCACTCCGCGAGCTATTGTATGTCAGCTGCTCTCTTTTTCATTATAATACGTCATGCACATGACCTTTTTAATGTGTCAGCATCTTTGAATACCATGGTGTATTAGTACATTAAATTAAATGGTGTATTTAGTACATTATATTAAAAACTTTAAATACGTTTTTCTTAAAATTTTCTTTAAATACGTGACTTGCATTTTTTTTTAATTTGTTCACCACTGCAATACCTAGTCCCCCTACCTCAAACAACTTCATAACATTACGCAAAAAAATTTTGCGAAGCTTCTCGTCCCAAAAAAGGCACTTTTTTTAAATAGCTGCAATTTTTTTCCTTCTTGCGTTTTTTCTTGATAGATAGATAGATGATAAATACATTTCGAGAAAAACAAAAACAAATACCATGCATTTTTTGTAACAAAAAAGAACAACCCCCTTAATTCTATCAGGATACATAATTAATTTTATACAGGATTTAAAAAAAATAACCCTTTGCAATCGAGACTTATTCTTTGTAAAATACATCGCTAACTCGAATGTGTGGTACTTAAAAAAAGATTAGAAAAAAATTAAATGAATCTTTTTAAAAATTTATTTTATGGTACATAGTATTGAGGATCATAGTTTGCCGCTCTTTTTTCTCGAGAATTCACAGTGTGTACATATTATCGCCATTCGAGTGCAACGGGTTATAATTTATATTTGTCTGCACATTGAGCCTAGCAATTGAAGTTACTTGCTTTTTTATGGTACAAAAACTAACAACTATACCTGCAACATAGTTCAAACTATGAAATCAATGCATTTTTTCATAATTTGCATATTCTTATTCAATTGCTTCCTGTATTTGATTTCTAATTATGAAACCTGTGCACTAAAACACTAAAACTACGCATTTGATACATCTTCTAACTCAAATTATACGTGATGAAATTTTAATAGTAATTCCAAAATTAATGCGTAACCAATACATTTTATTGTTCATATAGCACTTTATATTTTATGAACATGTTTGAATTTATGGCATGCTGTAGGTACTGATTGTAAAACAGTATTCTATCGGTAGAATATTATGAAGTAATGTCGGAATTATTGATGGTTCTACACAATCGTGATCACTAATTAACTTTAAACCTGCAGAGGTAGCATTGGACATTTGATCAAAACTTTGCCTTATGTATTGCTAAGGTGACCATATTTTTTGAGTCAAAACCGGGACGACAATTTTTAGTGGTTTTAATCCGGGACGGGGGGGAGGCTATGCTATATAATTTAAATATACATAATTTTAAAATGGCAAAAATACTATTTAATCATACAATAAAAAGGCGTTTTATTTAATTAAGTTGTTTTGAAATCAGAATTACGGGCTTCTAGTAAGAACTTTACTATTCGAATATATGTTATAAATACCCTTCATTTACCTATGATGTTATTTCATATATTTTTTTTTACTTTTGAGCCTTGTGTAAAACTCTGTCCAATTCTCTTCATAATTAACTTGAAAAAAATAGCGCATCTGCCAGGTAGTCAAAAAGTATGTTTTTATATATTTTGCTAATTTTCGTGAAATTAAAAATAAGTCGGAAATTATTGGTATTCGGCAATTTTCTCAAACATAACGTATTGTTTTTTATAAACATACTTATAATTTATATCATTTTCAAATATTTTATGGGTTGTTATAATTTTATTATCAAGTTATTGCAAATATTCGATTTAAACACATACTTTTTGGAAACCCGGGACACAAGGTGAAAGTCCCAGACTTTCCCGGCCAAACCGGGACAGATGGTCACTTTAGTGTGTATTACTAAAATCGTATCTACTAAAAATTTATGGAATCTAAAAATAATCACGATTAAACTATCTGTTTTATATTGTAATACCGTATAATTGCATATAAACTCTTTTGCTACGACACTGTTTTCCGCAGAAGTGACAATGCTGTACAAGCCAGAAAACCGCCCAAATATTTGTTACACAGAATATTTCCAATAATTAACAAAAAAAAAAAATAATTTGAAAATTACACTTCTAAAACACTACAATATTAGAATTCTGAGAAATTTACCTTGCAGTGATATATATTCAAGCAAAATTTGACACAGTTTATGTTGTCTATAAAAGGCACTCGAACACATAGCTCGTCAAGATGATGTCGCCTAAAGGTGACCTCGTAGCAAATGGGTTAAAATATTATAGCCTCCTTTATTTTATCTATGCATTAAATTATTTTCTAATATTTCAGATTCTGTTTAATAATCTTCACGCTGTTTACAATAATAGCAACAGTGGCGGTCTTGCTCTCGGCGCCTCATATCATCGTGCAATAGGCGTTTGTAATTCAAGACAAAAGCAGTGCTAATAAAGACTATTTAGTTATAAGTATCATTAAAACAATTATTGTGCCAAAGTGATTCAAACAAAACTACAACCAATTTTACAAAACTTCTTTCGAAAATATAAAATTAACATCAATTACTCTTATTAAATTCAAAAGCATAAAAATAAAACAAATATTATAATTCCAATGCATTCATTATATCAATCAGAAAAATGTTAGAAAGTTAATTACTGTACTTTTTATATATGTATTTAAAAACGTAGTATTGAGGCAACTGGATTCTAATATAATTATTATTTAATTTTTTTTATAATTATAGGAAATCAGTTTAAATTACTCTTAGGTCTTTCTTTATTAAGTTTGCATTTGTACTAATTACAATGAGTAAGTAGAGGTTACTATGACTATAAATTAGTTCCAATATAGTCTTGGTTTATTCCAATATCTATATGTGTTTCATCAAACAATATTTCGATTGACCAATTAGAATATAAAACCTATTAAATTTATGTCGTTAGATTTTCCAATTGATGTATAGTTACTTACAGTCACGCGGCGAATTCGAACGCATCATACATCAATTAGACTAAACGAAATATGGGTACATGATCCTCTTGTAATGAGTTCATGCATTTTTATAATAAAAATTATTTGATATATCTAGAATTAATCATTAAAATAATTCACTAACAAGAAGACTGAAAAGTTGTGCAGCATATATATATGAAAGCTAATTTTCGGTATTGTTTGTATGAAGCATATATATTTCTTGGGAAACATTTTACAATATTTTTGTGCAATAATCTTAAAGATCTGTACGAATTTTAATATTTTTTGTATATTATTAATTCTAATTGTCTCAGTGCTACGAACAAGCTGTGCTTATGTATATGATATAGTTTTAGTTTTTTTCTGGAACTCATGAAATAATTATATAGTTGAGCATTTGAAGTGAAACTTTTTAGTATCTGAAAATAATTGATATCATCTCTTCTACTTATATTTAGTGGCCGATTCTGCCGTAAAATAAACCAATATTATAGCAAAGCTATATTACGTAGTGTTTATCATATAAAATGGTACTAAAAACTGTCATAATACCATGTATTTGCTGTGTGATCAGGCGTTATACACATAAAACGCAACTTCATTCATATGTTACGACACATCAGAAAGATGCAGTTATAATAATATTTTTTTTTTGACATTAGTGCGTTATCTAGGATAGGTTTCCTATCTAAAACGCCTGACCGCACAGCAACCGCATAACATTTTGATAGTTTTTAGTACGATTTTATATGAGAAACGTTACGTGCCACAGCCTCCTTAATATGATATCTGTGAAAATTTATTAAATGCGGAGTTTTATTAGATTTAGGAATTAAAAATATACTAATTTTTTTTTGTACTGAAAAATTTTAGTAAATATACAAAGGTATAAATCATGGGAGATAAATCTAGAACAAATTTGCTTTACTCAGTTTTGGTGCTTTTCGCACTCAACAGAGGGTCTCAAAATTTATATGAATCTTATCTAGAATTAAACCTAGGGGTAAATTTACATGCTGCAGTTGGTGGCGCCCCTATAAAGTGTTGAAACAACAAAAATTGAGGTACGTTTTCTATGGATAGAAAAGTTTCACTTCAAACAGTTTCATTATTAGTTGATAAATTAATAATACTTATAATGTTCAAAGCATATTAGATATTTTCTTATAATTACCTTGAGTTAAAAACAATCGTGTTAAAAACGATCATATTCTTTCAAAAAGCCACATAAATAACTAGTTACTTTAGTATGTTACATATTATTACCCTGATCGGATAAACGGATTTTTATCGGTACAGAATTTTTGAATGTTTGCAAGCAAATCCGGCAATAACCGACTTTTCCAAAAAGTCGGTCAATAATGAAACGAATTCACAAACGGAATGTTTAACGAAGTAATATGTGAATCGGCTGTGTTACTATCATTCATCTCTCTATATTGTATAAGATACTTTATATACTCATGTCAAATTATATTAATATTGAACACAAATGTGCAAATATCACAGCGCATTAAATAACTTTAATGATTCTCCAATACGGCGCACAAAACTATTTTCACGTCGAGAAAAAGAAAATAACGAATCACGACGAAAAGATTGACTATTTTTCTGGTATTCTTACAAATATCTCAAAACTTGACTTTTTCTAGAACGTAAGCTGTGTGGCATCTTCTATCTATCTGTAGTAATACTGATCTGTTTATCAGTTTTGTAACTCTTACTATTTTCTAAGTGTTCGATAATTGTAACTAATCATTACTTCGGACGCTAGAAATTAATATGTGAATTGGCATGTCAGTTTAATAAATAGATAATAGATATTAGCGTTTGAAAGATATTAAAATGAACATATTACAAATAATATATAATGTTAATAATGTGTAAGTTTATACTTGAGTTGAATTTTAAAAAAATAACAAAAATTTAATGTCGAAATTTTAATAAATATTACGAGTTTTTACCAAACCTCGTGAGTAAAATTTATCGGGTGATATCGTGTAAATGCTTTTGATGTGTGCGAATGCCGTGAGGTTAAATAAAATAAATGTTGTTATGTACTACTAATTATAGATTACCTTCATAATTCATTAAACAAATAATTTTTAGTGAAATGTTTGTAGAGGATACTTTGTTATGTTTGTGATTAAATTTAAAAAATATATAGAAAAGTATTTTGTATTTTTATCCCTCGCAATTCGCTAAAAAATATTCGTTTTTACTTTTTTGTAATTAGAAAAAAATGAAAAATGAGTGTTTTGCAAATTGGATAATATAAAGTATTAGATTGAGTTATTCGATTAAAACTTGTGATAATTTACATAAATCCTATGATAAGATATGTCATGTAAATAGAATAAGTTGTCGTGTGTTTTATATTGCTTTATTGTTAAGATAATCTAAGAATATTAAAGTCGGTGGTAAAATAATTCGGATGAAAACTAAGTGTGTAAAATTAACGCCAAACTGTAATAATGTGTGTGGCGCTAAATCTTCTTGCATAAAATAAGCAACTGATTTAGGCCACGTATTCGTGTTTTAGACCTAATGATTAAGAGAATATCCATATTGCCAACGACTTTTTGCTTCTGGTCACGTAAATTATTGTACAAAATCAAAACGAGCACAACTTACTTTAAAGCTATATAGGTAAATGAAGGAACTACTTACAATAAATGAGCAAAGATATGTGATTAAACAGGAATTGCCGTGTTTTCAGATTCATGTTAAAAGCTAATATTATAAGCAATTGCTAGTATATTATGATTATAAGAATACATTTGTAGATTTATATACATATTCTTCAAGGTATGGAGTTGTAGTCAAATAATGGTTCGAACAAATTGACGTAACAGTTATGAATTTCATAGAAGAACAGGTATATAAATGCAAATTGATTCCATTATTTTTATTATGCTAATTACAAAGCGTACTTTAAGCTTACATAGTTCCTGGTGGTTGAACTCTTCAATTTTTTTTTCTTCCGCATACATATTAAACCTCAATTTTTGAATATAATGCTGTAGCAAATAGTTAATTTCTTCTTCAAAAATGTATAATTGAATTTAAAAATTTAAATTCCTTACTTGCTTGAATCCGCACAAAATGAAGACGCAGTTCAATTTTGAACGAGCCTCCGAATTATTTTAAGCGTCTCATAATAATAATTCATAAAATTCATCAATCACCATGAGCAAAATTCATTAATTTAGTCGATTATCCTGTTTGCAAAACGTAACTTTGACAGCGTTTCGGACTCGAGATAAACTGCAATCAAATCGAGCTACGGACCAAAACAAAAACCACAATTTGTGTGTATTTGATAATTATATATAAGTTTGTAGTGTATCTTCATTGACTACTCCCATTATATAAGATAAATTGAATAATCGATGTATTTGCGAAAGCTCCTGTACCAAAAAATCTCAATTCCCCTTGCAATAAATTAGTGAATAATATATAAAATTGGTAAAGTCTATTCTAATTTGATTTATAAGTGATGCTCGGATATAAGCAAAAGTATCGAGCAAAAAGAGTGCAGTTAAATTAAAAGAAAGTATTCGAGGTATAATATTTAAACTAATGTTTGCATATTGTAACAAGTTAGATTAAATGTAAAATAAGAGTTGTATGATATTCTTATATTCTAACAATCTAACAAATTCTTTTGCATTCAACCGCTTAGTATACAATGTATGTTGAAATGCGAATTGTCTACACACCACTAAACAAACTTTTTAATAGTTTCAAAGTAATATATAGTAACTTCCAACATCAGAAACAGTACACAATCAAATGTATATATGCACTGGAATTGTATTGAATTGAATCTGTTATATTCAGGCTCGCTCTGTACCACGATTAAGAGTACGTTTCTGAAATAGGGTTTGAATCTATAATCAGAATTTTATTTCTCTTTATCTGAGTTTGTTTCATAAAAATGAAAATATACATTTTTTGTCAATTGATAATATAGCACAAAACATGTATTTTTTTCGTTTTTCACAAAGGGGCAGTAGAGAGGTTCACAAAAGTAAGAAGGAGATAAATTCCAATTACCTACTCATGTCTACTAATAAGTGAAAATGTATAATAATAATAATAATAAATACTAATCTGCCTAAAGGCAGGTCTATTATGAGAGCACCATTAATCAAGTATTCGCTTTTTCTCCCATTGCTATTTCATTACCATCATTCACTTTTTAAATACTTCTATGAGTTTTGCTTTCTAGACTTCTGGTTCCATGCTTCCTGGTCTTATGTTTTGTCTTTCAGTTCTCTGTATTTAATCTTCTCGCGTGAATAATCAATCATCTGCATTATTCTTCTACCCAATTGTTTCTGGTTTACCTTCGACTACATTATGTAGGAGCCACTCTTTTTGTAGAATGAGTTTGATCCAGTTTCCTTTCCTTTTAGTGATCGTGCTCAATACAGTTTTTTATTCGCCAGCTCTTCTCATAACTTTATTTTTTCCATTCATCTTCAGCACCACATTTCTCTCCAGATGCCTTGTCGGCCTTTCTTAGAATCCATGTCTCTGATTCGTACAGATCAGAGCATGTAGTTAGTTGACTAACCTAGTTGACATATAGTACAGAATTATGCACCAGACTCGTAATTTCGTGCTAACTGCTATTTGGTTTATGAATAAGTCATTCCAAACACGAAAGTAAAAAACTTTACTGAAATATTGTCACAAATGTCTGCTCACCGAAGATTTTACCGCGCCTACTTTTCAAGACCAACTTAATTGGCCGCTCGTGCTTACTATTGTTACTGGATCAGATAAACAATATTTTATTTGTATCTAACAATAAGTTTTTTCTTCTG